TGATCCACGTTAGGAGTGGTGTCAATCGTTTTCATATGGTGCTACGTTTCTGCCCGTAGCATATATTTTCATATAAGACACTCCAGAATCTAAGTTGGATGAAATTGGCTACAAATTTCAAGGAATTTTTAACACTGACTGCAATTTTCAAGGACTTTCAAGGCCTTGAATTTTTATTTTGAGATTCAAGGACTATCAAGGACTTTCAAGGACTTTCAAGGCGCGTGGGAACCTTGGAAATAAAATCCGTTATTTCTGAGATTTTATTTATTGTCATTTCTGCACTACTGTCATTGGTTTCATCTTACTTTACGCACACAAGAAATCAAACAAAGACAAAGCAATCAGCTGGGAGTCTGGGTGCAAGAAGTTGGACGGAATCTGTTGTAAAAGATTGCAAAGATGGTGGAGAGATCTGTGACTGGGAGATATAAATAGCATTTCAATTCCAGTTAATATTTAACAGCTACTGTAAACAAAGCCAAATAAAATACTGGTATAATATTAATAGAAAGATCCCAAAAAAATAAGCATCTCATCAATAAGCTATGCTTGTGCGTGGCAACGATTTTATAAAAAGCTTACATCACACAAGAGAATAACCCTGAATCATGTGTCGTATCATAGCGATTAAATTTCCCCTATTTACTGACTTACATTTCGAATTGTCAATGGAAGCAATAAAATGTACAGAAAATATTCGTGCGTAGAATTTCAAACGGGGGTTCGTGACACTTCAAGAACACAAGACATTGTTTGGAGAAATTGGTGTACACTGGTGCAATTCCTGTGAATGCCGCTGTACAGACTAAAGGCAGGAATTGCACTCTGCTCTGATTGGCTACTGAAAACATTAAAAATAAGCAGGAAATTTGCCCCGCTTTCTCTGGGTTTGCTTGAGAGGACAACACTCACATACCTGTAAAATAGCAATTCATTCATTTCTATTTGTTTCTTATTTGATAACTCTGATACAGTCCCCTGGTTAAAATGCAATCTTTGGTGAGTATGACGAATTTTACATTCCCTGTAGCCACTGGTGCAGATAAAATTATTTTTTGTAACTGGGAATACAACACGTGAAATGAAGAAAAAAAGGTTCAAAATACAACAAAAATTACACTAATCTCAGGGCCCATGGGAAGATTAATTTTGTAAAGTTTAAATCTCAGTGTGAGAATGATGGATGTAAGAAGGGTTATCCAGACCAGGCCTCTGGGCATGCAGATCAGTGGAAGCCAGAGTAGGTGTAAGGGACATTAAAATTTTTATTGTGGGTTCCTCAAATTAATAACCTTTGATATCTTACAGTTTCTGTAAAAACAAAAAAAGTAGTCTTGCATGTAGCTGTTAATCAAAAGCATAGGAATCTTGCACAGAGGCCTACCTGAATATTGAGCTCAGTATTAACTTGCGATGCAAGCATAGGGATAGGCATGTAAAAGCTTATGCACTGGATGGAACGCATGGACATAAGGATAGGCATAATATGCATATGATTATCAAAACGTTGCCTTCTTTTTATGCTTATACTGTCTAGTTAAGACTTGGTTGGCATAAGCGTAAGGATTAACATAAGCGAAAGACTTTCAGGCAATCAGCAAGCACCATACAGCTTATAACAACCATGTCCCTATTTACCGTAACATCAACTGAGCGCTTCTGCTCATGTTTATGTTGCAGCTGTGCCCATGCAAAAGCGCATTAGCTTGTTATGTTTATGCCTATGCTCGTCATTATTATACGAAAAATTACTGAACCAGAGTAAAGAATCTCAGACTAAATATAAACCACTAGTTGACAGAATTATAGTCATACACCAGCTAGGATATTCATCCTTGTAAAGGGATTGTTGTTGTCTCTGTCAACTTATTATTGTTTTAATCTTCAATATGATTCAAAAGAAAAGTTTCTGTATCAATTTCTTGAAGAACATGTCCTAGGTGTAAAGCCACTGTGACGAACATTTAGGTACAGACAAATCTGTAACAAGACTTTTGACAAAAGAAAGAGTAATCTTCAGTATGATTCAAAGGATTCAATGGATTCAAATTCATCAAGGAAATACCTATTCCTTGATGAATTTGTGTTTCTCATGAAGCCGCTGTATACTGTTTATTTTAGTATTGGTAAATCTGCATGAAGATTTTTATTGAATGGTTAAAATTTCAGTATATTAAGTTAACATCTAGCTGTGCCATTTCTTGAAGAATTGGTGTACATTTGATCTACATCAAATGAAGTCAGGTGTAACTTAAGTCTTGCTTCAAAATAAAACTTGTTGCTGTGCAGGTATCTTGAGTTCAAAATAATGTAAAACATTTTAAAGAAAGCACAATTTGGGTTTATGTCAGATTAAAAGTTGTTGTTGAGTTTGTAGTATGGCCTAGCTAACCTGTGTTCCATGCACAAAATACGTATGATGCACGATCCTCGCAGTAGAGAGCGCCATTTATGCAATAGCGAAAATAAGACCTGAAAAAAATCAGGCCTGTAGCACTCTCTACTGCGACGATCGTGCATGATACGTATCTATAACCACAGTTCAAAATATGTGAACCTCATATATTCATCGTATATGCAAAAAATATTGATAGAAAGAACCAATTCCTGGAGTTAGGATCCTTTACACAAGGCCATTTGATGAAATTCATCAAGAGAATCAAATGACACCAGATGAAATGGCAAAACTCAGTGGTAAAAGATGGATATCAAGTGACCACCTCGTGTAGATGAGGTGACTCTCCAAGTACCCCTGTTTTGCTTCACTGGTACTTTTCCTTTAAAGCTTTAGCTTATGAGATCCCCCCACGTGTAACACACTGTAATATATATTCCCTAATGTCAAGGATAAGAAGACATTGTATCCTTCAAAATACACTCTTTTTACCAAAGTAAAAATAAAAATGGCCTCTTTTTTTGTAAAATTTACAATGTACAGCAATAAAAATATGATATTTTATTTCATTCAAAGGTATCAGTGGGGAAAAAGTGGATGCAGAGAATGAATGCGTAGATCCTGATGATTGACTTTGTCATATGATTGGCTTTGTCATACATGCCAAAAAGCGAGGGATGACATCAACATGATCCAGTGTAATGGTTGTTTAAGGTAAGAGGCAAACACTTTGCAACTTTTTATCACATTTAATTCTAAAATGATGAACAAAATTGAAAGACATGGTATCGCATGTCTTTCTTAAAAACAACAGTAGAGAGTCCTTAAGCGGTGATGTCACGTTTCCATGGTGCTAAAAATCTCAGTTCCAAACAAGCGCCCATTCGATTTAAAATGGCGACATTATCCATCGCTTCGCTTTTTTCTCAGAAGAAAAGAAATCTATAAAAAAGGGGGAAAACCACTTTAAGTCAGATCACATTGAAGCATTTACTTACCAGCAGGGTGTTTTACGAGGAGAAGTACACGCAAGCATGAAACAAAAGGTTTATAAAGTGACGGTGAGTTGTTATTCTTTACATGATTGATCTTTTACTAGTAGCATCTTGCCGAAAAAACCTTTTCTATTTGACAAACTAAATGCCATTAATCTTGACATCTTGCAGATTTATTTGGATGAAGAACATGAACTAAAATCAACCGAGTGTGAATGTCCAAGAGGCATGTTTAAATGCAGTCATGCAGCAGCCCTCTTTATTCACGGTATTCACAGCCTGAGCCGAACCGACCTCGAATGCCAGTGGCGGAAACGAAAGTCAAATACATCGCTTTCAACTCAAGCGGTCACAGAAATGTTCCCCCCGCCTAAAAGGTATTCTGCTCTGTCGAGAAAGCCTACACAAGCTGACCGTTGCGCGTTGTACGAAGACCTGAAGGAATATGGGCGGTTTACGGGGCTCTGCTGGCTAATCAGCCCTGAGCCACCTATTGCTAACCAGCTTCCTTTTCCAACCATAGAAGAAATTATTTTCTCTGACGAGTTTCTTCAAGCCACTGGGCGTCAGCAGCAGCTGGACTGTTTGGTTCGCCTTTCCAGATTACAAGAAACGGACATTTTAAGGGTTAGCGAATTAACTGCTGGCCAGCGAGACAACCCGGCCTGGTTTTTGGCGAGAAGGGGCCGCCTTACAGCCAGTAACTTCGGCTCTGTCCTAAAGGCAAAGAGGATCACTCCTTCACTTATTAAACGTCTTCTCGGGGAGTACGACCTATCAAGGGTAAAGGCAGTGCAATGGGGAGTAAATAATGAAGAGGAAGCCGTCAAAGCATTCACCCTGAAAACAGGGTTGGCAGTGAAAGGAACTGGAATCTGGTTTCATTCATCTGGAATTCTTGGTGCATCTCCAGATGGTATCATTGATGAAGGAACTGTTCTTGAGGTGAAGTGTCCGTACACGGAACGGAACCTAACAGTAGCAGAGGCAGTGGAGTCAACAACATTTTGCCTTGAAAAATGTAGAAGTGGACAGGGCTACGCCTTCAAAAAACACCATGTTTATTGGCACCAGGTCCAGGGAGAAATGTACTTCTCACGTAGGAGGTTTTGTTATTTTGTGGTATGGACTACAAAGGATATAGCTATTGTAAAAATAGAAAGAGATGAAAAATGAGTGGCAAACATTCCTGTCTTGACCCAATTCTATTTTGATAATATATTCCCTAGAATAGTGGAAGGAGAATTGTAATTTGCTAATTATGGTCAGAGCTCTCTTCCTTTACCCTTTGAATGCCAAATGTCAAGATTAAGTTTTAGACTGTTTTTGTTGCCCAAATGAACACAAGGGCATGATTTTCTCTAGTAGTGAAATAAAAAAAGGCTTCTTAATGAACGATTTGTTTAAGAAAATAATGATACTCATCAGTTTTCAGTCCTCAAATTGACCTACCACTACTAGTTTAGTGTGAGGGAGTTGTGGTAACAGGCTATACATATATTTGCATTTTTATTAATAAACACAAGGATAACATGGTATTATTTAAAAGACATGGAAAATGGTACATCATTTAATGTTGTTTTCCTGGGGGGAAGGGAAACTCCCATATAAAAGTGATGGGATGCTCATGGGAAATGTTCAGAAAGACCCCTTAAGGGTAACTATGGGCAGTACTTGCTTTCATTTTTATCCCCAAAAAGACATCCATTGTAAAACATATGTCAAAACTTCTTTTAACTTCTGTTCTCCTAAACATGATAAAAGAATTCTCGCAGTGATCTAATTTGACACCCTATGTACACCCAGGCTGTACCAGATGATAAATATTGTAATCCCTAGGAGGTAAAATCATCCCTTTACTGTTATATTAGAATGCCCCCCCCACCCCTCCAGCTGTATTTTCTTCTAAGTAAGCCTCAGTCTACAAATTATTTTATTTCTATTTGAGCAACAATAATTATTAAAAAACTGTCCACTGTAGTCTTCAAGCACAAAAGTACTCAAAAACCATATCTTCACATCCCTCTTTGATGAGAGGAAATTGCAAATTTACAAGTGCTGCACATAACTGAAACAAAATGTCAGCATAGCAGCGCAAATACGAAGCAATGAAGCCTAAAATTTTGAAGTCTTTCAGCCTAGCATTGGCTCTTTCGACATGAATCCGTGCTTTAGCTATGGCTTTTGTTTTCTTGACCTCACTCTCTGTGAAAGTTCCATTATTCAGAAAAGGTGGGATATTGACACAGACACCATGTGGTACAACATCCTGGATAAGGAAACCCTTGTCCGCCAGAATCATATCTCCAGCTGTCAAGTGATTAAGGAGTCCAGACTGTTGCACAATGGCCTTGTCTGAAATAGAACCTGGATACAGCCGACTGACATAAGTAATGACTCCATTTGGTGCAACACCAACTATTACCTTAAAGGAATTCATTCCTCTGTATGATGAATAGGTCGCATTTTGCTGACTCATCAATCCCGGTGCAGCAACCTCAATATCTGTGCAGTCTATAACAATCCGACAGGATTCAAATTGCCTGAAAGAGGAGGGTGCAGAGATCTTGTTTTTTTCCCGGGATGGAATCGACGTCATTAGGTCATCAAACAAAATTTCATGCAAAACATGAGTGAATGTTATAACAATGTTAGAAATTGTGGCCACACTACAATGAAACAATTGGGCTAGGTGAAGCTGTGTGTAGTTCTGTCGTACTTTCATTAAAGTGATAAAAATTTGATCCTCAAAATTGATGGATTCTACCTTCCATCCAGCAAAATAGTTCACGCTATCTTTAAATCTAAGAGCATGCTTTACAACAATATTAAAGACTTCTTTGGTTGGAAGACCTGTCTCCATTCGTATTACATCTCCCTCAAGCGCAGACACAGTGTACTTGTTCCTCTTATACTGGACAGTTTGGTTAAGTTCCTTTAGCTCCCTGTTGGCAAAGTCAAGCTCTGCTTCCAGGATAATCTCCTGTGTTGTTTGCAGGTTTTCTTCTGTGTCAGCTACTAATGGCTGTTCATTTTTTCGGGCAAATTCTATCATCTGTGAAAGAGACTCTACCTTTGATTCAGTATTCTTTATTTTCTTCGGCGGTGGACCCCTTTGTTCAGTAAATAACTTATGCTTATTGCGTTCAAACACTTCAGGACCATTGGCTTTCTGACCATTCCTAAAATGGCAGCTACATACTCTTGAGTACTTGCTGGGCTCTCGATCTTCTCTTCTGTTAATAACAAAACACCCGATTTAGTGATTCTGTTGTCAACAACATAGCCGTTCCACAACCAGCGAAGGCAAAATCGCGAAGCGACGCGAAACATTTCGTGAATCGATCAAGCACGTTACATAGCAGATCTACATTGGTTTTAAATGTATCTAAATTCCAAAAACACGATGAAGCACTCAGATTTAAGGTTTTGGCTACGGAAAATACAAAGCGACCGTTAAAAAGACAACTAGCTGAAGCTTCTCTAATTCAGTATTCGATGATTCTCCCTCATGTCCTGATGTCATCTCTTCACCTGAATAGAGTCCGTAAACCTCACTTAAAATCACGTAATTCATCAAATTCTCACTGATTAAGGAATTCTTTTTGAATATCAGTTCATACCTTATGAGTCGAATCCATCTCTTGTACTCGTCGTTCTGCTTTGTAGCGCTTGGAAAAGCGAAGAACTTGAGAGTGTTGCCTTCCGACAAATGGCCACATGTAGGAGCAAAACAGTAAACCATTTTGCCCGTTTGACCCGCGTCCTTTACACTTCTTAAACAAAAGTTGATCCCTTCGATGACCCTTTAACCTTTCCTGTTTTTTTTTTTACTGTCTTTTGTGGGATTACACTGGATAATTAAAGCTTGAGACATTCAAAACAAAGGAAGCGTGTCCAAAGCGCTTGCATAAGATATTTTGTTTAGAACTGCATTTTTTAACACCATGGTAACGTGACATCACACTTAAGGACTCAATGACAGCCTTGTTATTCTTATTTTATTCAGTTTAAAACTTTACTCATCTTACTTTAATGGACAAATCTCAAGTTAGGTAAATCATAATTTATTTTTTTTGACAATCATCATCATTATTGATCAGTAAGAAAATTATCATTTTAATAAAGTCATTAAGTTAACTAACAAATTGTTTCTTTCTGACACTGCTAGGGACTGCACACAACTAACAGATGAACCTCAAGGGGATGACTGGTTTTGCAACACTTGTTACAATAACAAGAGAGATGCAGGCCTTAGTACATAACTCTTGATACAGATCACCTTACATAACTTATTCACAATGTAGATATGGCAATAATTGCCTTTTTTTTCTTAATTGTTTAGTTCCAAGAAATTATTTGTATTTTTGTGGTAATTAGTAAAAGAGAAATAAAGGAAAAAGCTAAGAAAACTGATAAATGAGAAATTTTAAATCAGCCTTTTCTATCTATCTGGTTGTTGTAGATTGTAATCTAATCTTAGTGTATCTTATCTTGTGCTTTCCTGAAAATATCACATACATATCAATTGGTAGGTTTGTTGATTTGTATTAGCTTATTTAAAAAGAACTTTAAGGTATCAAATTACAACCTGAAGTTGATTATTCTTTCTAAAACATGCATGACTGAAACAGCATTTTTGGCTCAATTTGGGAACTAAGCTAACTGTTTCAAACTCTAAACTTTCCCTTCGTCCACTTCCTAATACCGGGCTAAAACTATTCTTCCTCTCTTATCTTTTCCTTCTTTACCTTTAATGAAGCTGTTGTTGAAAAATTGTTCCCAACTGATGGAGTGTAGACAACAATCCATCTTTCGAATGTGTTCAGCAGCATCGGTAAAGCGCCACCCATATTTTCCTCTTAAACCTATTGTTGTCCAGGCTGTCATTTAGTGCCATTCCTGCATTTAGTTTGAACAGCGGTACCACAGAAATTGCACCCTTTGCAGACCATTTGCATGTGTCAAGTATCGGGGTTTATTTTATTCCTATTGTTCCCAATCTAAACTTTGGCGAGATTTCAGAAATGTTGCCTTTTAGTGCATCATAGCATCTATTAGTTTCCTTTTTTAACAAAAGATACCCAAAACATACACCAGTTTTCCCATTAAACTTTGGTGCAATTCCTTCATTTAGTCAGCACAGAGGTTTTCCACAAGAATCACACCAGTGACACATTCGTGACACAGCGATCCTATTGTCTGTTTCGCTAGTTTCGCTGAGAAGTTTATTGTTCTTACAGTCATTTAAAGAAATGTAAGTCAATCCCAAAAGTCTAGATAGTAAAACTCACACGCCAGAGAACTTTGTAACTCTTTCGATATACGGTCTTAATATTTACATGGGTCTTCTGTCTAGTAAGTTACATGTGATAGTTAACTGGCATAAACTGTTAAATATTAACTGGAATTGAAATGCTACTTATATCTCCCAATCGGTGCAATTCTTGCATTTAGTTGCTAATGAAAGAACAGGTGTTATCTATCTTCCAGCACTCAAATCGTCCCAAAAACCGAATGGAGTTGGCTTGTCAAAATCGTTAACAGATGCATTAGAAGGTAAGGATAGAAAGCTACTTACTTTTTAGCCATCTGTGTGTAGGTTTGTGCTGATTTACGATGTTACTGTCTCACCTGTTTTCCTGCCATTTCTTTAACACAGCAAAGGAGATCAAGGGTTCCACTTTACTGATGTTTACTACAGAAGACATCAAGTATGAACAAGAAGATTTAAGTATTGAAGACCGCATGCACCTTAGGAATTTCCTGCGAGAGATTGTAAGTTTGTGACATGTTTTTAAAGTGTGTTTTAAGCACTCAGTGGCCATCCCAGCTGCAGGAACATAAGTTTGTAGTTTGTAGTTTGCATTCCTCTTGAAATTTTGTTCCCTTTCCTGGCTATTTAAAGCAATAAATTTGACAATGTATACAAACTATAAGAAACTTTTTATGCAAATCTTGAGATGATAGCTCCATATTTCAGGGAAAAATATGTTAACCCATGCAGAGGATCATGTACTCAAACTGACTGAATTTTTTTGTGGGAGCAAATAACGGGTTCACAATAGTCCCTTTTTTTGGCAAAAATACAATCATAAATACTGACATACATTTTTAAAGAACATATATACTTGTAAAACTCTTGTTAGGCGATTTGAAATATTGTGGCATAGACAAAATTGACAATTCACTTTTCCATGCAATTATTCAGCTAATGGCTCTGTACTATGAGTATCCACAGGTATTTAGGAATGTATTTCTTTTTCTACAGCAGTTTGTTCTAGGTGATATTCAACTTGAAGTAAATACGCGGTTCATCAACAGTTATCAAAAATGTATTAAAAAATATTTAGTTTTTGCAAGTTCGGTGTAGACTTCTGCTGCACGGGATTTTTTATTACATCATGCCCATATGTCTTGATGTGAAACACATTTTACAAGTTGATAAATTAATTTTACAAGTTGATTGGTTAATTTGACAAGTTGATAAGTTAATTTTACAAGTTGATAACTTAATTAAGGATGTACTCTTCTGCATCTGCATATAAAAGGCTTATGTAACATTGCATTAGATGGTTGTTGTAGTGTAATACTTATTCATATTGTTGGGATTTTACTTGACTAGAGTTAAGTGTGGTGGTTAGTGTGACAATTTGTGCTTGGAGTTTTGATTGTAAGACATGATTATCGAATCGCGTTACATAAGGGAATGTCACACCATGCAGCCACGTGCTGACATCGGACACCGTTAAGGTATATGGACTTTGCACGTATGAGACATCAGGTCTTTTGTTTTTGCTAAGCATGTGCTGCTAGCCGTAGTTTTGATTGCCGAATAAAAGCTGTTACAAAGCCTCAACCTCTGCGTCTTACAGTTAGTAACTTGGAAAGACCTCAAGGTGGCCACTTTCATGTTGTTGAAGTACTGTAACTTGCTGCCTTGTACAGTTGTACAAAGAAGAATTAAGAACACTGAGTTCTATGATACAAGTGTCTTGTCTGTTTTACTCTTGAGTCAAAAGATTCCTCTGACATGAAGCCAAAAAAGAACCTTAAGTGTATATGGGTGCTTTTCTTTAGAGGAATTATGTTCCTAGAATTAGATTTGAAGCCCTTTCAAGAGCTTTGTTTATCCTATTAAAATCATAGGTGACAAATTGCTCCTTAATTTTGGTGCAAAATTTCAGCGTTAATTTTTAATTTCACATGTGAAATTACAAAATTGCCATCTACTGTATCTCCATCAGAGCCAAGATGGCATTGAGATTCAAGACGGTGACCCTTGAAGAAGTTATGAAATTAAAAGAAGCGATCGAAAACTTAAATACACGAAAGAGCACAATTAACTGGGTACGAGTTTTTGAGAAGTCGTGTCATGAAAATAGCCTTGAGAAAAACCTGGCAATGATTCTTCTCGAGCAGTTGGATAAGGTACTCGAGCAATTTTATGCCTCCGTGTGTAAACAAGATGGAACTGATAATGAACCTGGGTCCCTGAAAGTAATGCAAGCAGCGCTTGACCGCCATTGTGTTGTGTTCTTTGGCAAGACACTTTACTCTTGCAGTGCCTCTCTTCACCCAGGTGTATAAATGGGTACCGGCAATTCAATGCTGGGGGCAACCTTGTGATGGACTGGTATCCCATCCAGGGGGCATCCCAGAAATACTTCTAGTCACTTCCTGCTACACAAACCAGATTTAACCACCAGCCTGATGGGCTACTAGGCTTGTAAACAGACTTTACCTTACCTTTTTCAATTATAAAGAACAGAGAATTTTTCAGTTCCCGAAAAGTTCTTGAGGCAAAGGTGCATACGCTAAGAAATGAAAGTAAAGGAAAATTACCAAATGCGTCAAGAAGCCTAACCAGAGAGGAAGAAGAAGCTTTGTGGGAAAGCGGGCAGCTTTGAAATTCATCTCCACGGTCACTCCTGAATACAATGTGGTGGCTGCTCTCACAGCATTTTGGCCTGCGTGGCTGCCAAGAGCATTACACAATGAATGTGGAAGATTTCACGCTCAATAAAAGACGACAACCGCAATGAGTTCGTAACCTTCATAGAAAGCCCGACAAAAACACGGCAAGGAGGTTTATTAGTTCAGCCGAGATATGTGCTACCCAAAATGTTTGCAACTGGTGAATCCCGATGTCCTGTGGCTCTTTTTAAGAGTTACCTGTCCAAGAGGCCTACAGATTTAAAATTATCTGGTCCGTTCTACTCAGCGTGTATGGACAGCCCCAGAACAGACGTATGGTACAAGAAGAGCCGAATGGGTAAAAATACCAGCAGTAAAATTATGAAAAGTATGAAAGAAAACTCACCGTTACAAGATATGTGTTCTGAGAAAAGATTATCCAACCACTCAGTCCAGATAACAGTCGTCAGAAAGCTGAATGCCAAGGGAGTTCCAAAGTCAGAAATAATAACAATAACTGGCCATCAATAAGAACAAAGCGTTGAAGCCTACTCCAGGAACGAAGACGAGCAGCGGCGAGGTTGTCTATTTACCAAGTTAGGATTTCGAGTTGGATTTCTAGTTGGATTTTCGAGTTAGGATTTTTGGCGGGATATTTTTGGAAATTTTTTTTTGGTGGGGTTTCCAATAAATTTTCAGTGGTTTTATACAACGTACTTTGTCAGTGGTATTGCACATCTCAAGATGGAGGAGAACGAGGATTGCAGAT